CCCCGGGACATCCATTGCTGAGCTGTGGGCAAAAGACAAGCTTGCTGGACTTCCAGTGCACATACACCCGCGCCTTGCCTGCCACTGGGACACCATGATAAGACAAGTGTACAGAGCCGGACAGAGGGAAGGGAAGGCTCTCCAAGGCATTCACTGGGACAAAGCCCGTCACAGATAAAACAGTTGTCGAGGGAAGGTAGGAAGGTGTGGCCTGTGCAAGTGGCAGTCATTATTGCCTGGAGATGGGCAGTTAGGCTGGCCAGAGAAAGTGGCCGGTAGCCAAGTTACCTAAACAACTGTGGCATGCAGGAAACAGGTTGGCCCTCCCCAGCCTTTGCCCTCACCCTGTAGACAGACAGCGATGGCATAGTCCATGGCCCAACTGACCAATGCCATGAGGAGCCCCAACAGGACCAGGAAGATCCAGTCTTCACCAACCCTGGACACTAGGAACTTGTGGCAGCGTACAGAACAAACTGGAAGCAAGGAAGGGACGATCCATCCATAAAGAAGCTGGTCCCAAAGTGTTCCTACTCCGTACCCTGTTTCTCCCCATCCCCCATGGGCAGCTCTAATGGTCTTTGTCTCCCTCAATATAGAACATCCGGGTCCCTGCCCCAATCTGGCTCTTACTGCGACATCTGGCACATCGACTCTGTCCATATTCTAGGAGTTCTGGGGTAGCCCGGGCAGACGGGGACCCCTTCCAGGGCTCAGGCCCTCCCAGGCGGATCCGAGCAGCTTCCTCTTTGGCAAAGGCCCCGAGTTCCTGCGTGTACCGGCCGTACATCTGGAGCAGGGGACAGAACATGGCATGAGCCTGGGTGGCCGAGGTGGGGAGACTGAATAGAGTTCCTGGGCGTTGACCCCGCCCCTTGCTCAGCTCCCACACTGTATACCCCATCTTGAATCCAGTCTATACTCAGGCTCAGAGTGTGGGAACAATGCACATTGCAGACTGCGGGGGCTGTCCTGGCCAGAGTGATGGGGACAGACAAGGTACAGGGACACAACTCTGGGGGTGGCAGAATAATCGGTCCTCTTCTAGCAAGTCAGGGTGGAGCAGGAGGGAAGGGTCCAGAGGAGGGAAAAGATGGAAAAACCTAAGGCAGTCTGAAAGCGGGGGGAGGGAAGGTCAGAGAATGAGGGGTGGTCAAGGGCATATGTGCAGAGGAAGAGCCTGGTGGGGCTGAGGGCAGCAGAGCTGGGCCTAGGAGGTCCCAGCCCCAATCCTTATCACGTTCCTGCTGGGCCTTTGGCTTGTGACCAATTCAGCTGCACCCTTCCCACCCACCCTAATCCCCTTGTCCTCATTCTCCACTCCCAAACCCCCATTAGCCTGTCAGCCCAGCTGAAATGGAAAGCCTCTTTGGGTGGGTAGGCAGTGCTGGGTGGCCTCAGTCCTACTCTGGAACTGCACTTGGGGCCAGTGACAGGTCCGAGGGTCCCCCCGAGGCTGTGGATACCAGGCTGGTGGGAAGGGAGTGTGTTATGGCTGGACCTGCCAAGCTGGGCGTGTGCTGGGGGGTGGGGAGGAGTAGATTCTGGCTGCCACCCGCGGAGCTTCAGGACACAAAGGGCTCCTGTTGGGGTTGGGGTTGGGGGGGGGGGGGGAAAGATAGAGACACAGGGTGAGACACAGAAGAAAGGGAGAAGAGGAACTTCAGAGAAAAGGCAGAAAGGAGAGTCAAGGAAAAGCAACACAAAGTGTCCAGAGCAGGGAGGAGGAAGAGTGTACAGAGAAACAGCAGGTGGGAGGAGGTGAGGGCAAGACAAAAGGGTAGGAGGGGAAGTGGGAGAGGCCAGAGCTGGGAGCTTGACCCTGAGAACTCCTTCCACAGACACAAGGAGATGGAGCAGCTGCTGGTGCAAAAGAGAGAGAGAGCTAGCATTCAGAGGTTAGGTGCCTGGCTTCCATGGCCAAATGCCTCTCTCCTTGACCTGTGGATGGCCAGGATATCGGCCATATCCAACAAAAGGGCTTGCCTCCACTATCAGCACTGTATTCTCATAGCTACCACCTCGCCCAGTTATCCTGTTTCACACAGTCTCCCGTAATTGGGCACCTCTCTGACTCAGTTACAGCCCCGGCCTTCTCCTACAGAGGTTCCTCCCTGCCACCCTCCCGGGCAAATTCCAGCCTAAGCTGATAAAAAAAAAGGGGCCATAAGGCCAATTTCTCTATGTAGGGCTTGGTCTCCCCCACCTTAGTGACACGAGGGTGAACGGCTTCTCAGCAATGGTGGCCATGAGTCATCTCAAAGCTCAGGACCCCTGCTTCTTATGAGATCAAGGGACACTTCATGGGCGTGGGTGGTGGTGGTGGGGTACCTGGCTAGATCCAGCTGGAACAAAGGTTTGAGTTCTCACACCCATTCTTGCTTACTGCATCTGCCCTAAGTCACTTTTCCCAGCAGGGTCGACTGAAGAGTTCTTGTCAATGCTGGTCTTGGAGCCGTTAAAGGCAAGGGTTGGGTTTGGTTTGATCGCTTGCCTACCCCTTTATGCTCAGCTTAGTACTATGTACATAGAAGGGCCCCAGGGAGGGTGTTGAAGGTAGACAGACATGTGGAGAAAGTTCCATAGTATAGCTGGTGCTCAGAAAGAGCACCGGAGTTCTGTAACTTGGGCTCGAGTGCTAAGTGAAGAAGAAAAGCCAAAAAGAGTATGCAGAAAGGGGTAAGGGGAAGGACACCTGGGCCAAGTACCTGGTGTCACTGTCCTCTGCAGGCCACCAGTCTCAGCCAGAAACCAGCAAGCAGCTTTCCAACACCCCGAACCTCAGTTTCCACAGCTGAGGAAGGCTCAGGCCAGGTTAGGGTAGGCCGCCTGTCCTCACACTTTCCAGGGCAACCTGCAGCAGTAGTACCGTAGCGCAACCCTTGGGTTTCACTTACCAGGGTCTGCTCGTACTGCAGCGCTCGAGGCTCCATCCCTTCCCCCGCCGCCGCCGCCGCTGCCGCCGCGGCCGTTGCGGCCGCCATCTCGGTGCACTGTCCTCTTGCCTCCCTTTGCTTCTCGGGCTCCGGCCTTGACTCAGCTCCCGGCCCGCTGAGCCCGCGCCCGCACCCGTCCCGTCCCCTCAGCCCCGGCGGCCGAGTGCAGAGTGCGACGGGTCCCGGGGCGCGCGCCGCGGGATCAGCCTCCCGCTAGCGTCCCCTCCTCGGCGGGCGGGCCGAGGGCGGTGCCCTGCTCGCTGCTCCGCCCCGGCCCATCTGCAGGGGCGTCCCGGCCTGGCCGGGGTCTGCATTGGGGCCGCCTCCGGGTCTCCGGAGAGGCGGCAGGGGGCGCTTGCAACAGGATCTCGCGCCCCCTTCACCACCGAGGCCGGGGAGTGACCCAGCCCCGCGAGGGTGCGGGGCCGGGCGGGGGCGGGTCTGCTGGCACGTGGAAGGGACGGGCTCTCCTGCCGCGGCAGCGTTGTGCGAGAGGGGCTGGAGATGTGGGGACTCTTGGACTAGGGTAGGGGGCTACAGAAAAAAGCTAATTCGCGCTCTCTAGGCCAGATCGGACAGAGGCAGCCCCTGCCTCGCACTTTCAGGCGACTCTGACGCCTCTGGGAAGATGCCTGAGAGCCCGCTCCCTCGTCGCCTCCCTTTCCCCCGTTCTCCTTCCTTTCCTCCGGGTTCCCCCCTGGAAGGTGCACCTGGAATGGCTGGGCTGGAAAGAGGGGCGGAGGTGGAGGTGGGAGGGGACGGGAAGGGGTGAGGCCCGAGGGAAGGGAGCTATTGGTGCGGGGGAGGCCGCTCCTGGGAGGCGGGTGTGTGGGGGAGCAGAGGTCGCTCCTCCCAGGCACTGCTTAAGGGGGAATTTGTGTAGCTGCTGACGGACGCCCTGAGAAAACGGCCTACTGAGGCTCCACATTGTCTTTCAGGGTCCTTGGAGGGACCAGAAGAAGATGGCGAGGGCACAAAGAGGATGGACAGTGTGAGGTTGGAGCCACTGGAGAGGACACTGTCCAGAAATCTGTGGAGAAAGAATAGTACCAGAATGAAGATTCATTCAGGAAACAGGGTGCCCAGTACAGGGGCTGTAATGCGCGAAGGTAGCACCTAGAAAGAAGGTATTGCGAGCTGTCGCCTCCCACTCAAAGGCCAATGTCGGCTGAAAGCGCACTTCAGTGTCCAGAAGAGGGTGGTATAGTGGAGTGACAGGCAGTACCAAGTTCAGTTGGCAGTGCTCTAGGGGATCAGTGTGAGGCTAGTGCCAAGCAGGGCCAAGGGAAGACGGGAGTGGCGAGGAGGTGAAGACCCAGGGGAGGGCACAATGCGAGCTTTCCTGTCCCCCAGAGTGACGTGGCAAATTCCCAAACCGGACGCACCCGGCTCGGGTGATGTCTAGCTGGTCCGAGCCAGCTCGGACAGTCTGACTTTGGTGACAGTCTGAGGGGCTGGGCACTTAGGTCCTGGAGGGCCGGTGCTCTGCGGGCGGGGTTCTGCTCCACCTGCCTGCAGCACGGACTGTGCCCTCGGCCGGCACGCGGACTGCAGGGAAGGGCTAGGGCCGGGCTTCCCTGGGCCAAGGATCAAGGTTCCTGTCTGGGTTAGGCCCCCAAGCTTTCCACGCTTCGGGATCCACGCTCTCAAGAGGGCGCAGTAGAGCCCGGCGCTGCGCGGTACCCGCCGGAGGTGGGACTTGATCTGTCCCCGCCTTGGGCGGAGTCACCGAGCTTTGAGACGCGCCCACAAGGCTCGAGCGGCTCCTAGGTGGCTCTTCCCGGCGGAAGTGAAGAAGCCCCGAGAGGGAGGTAGCGGAAGTGGCTGCGTTACTGTAGCCTGTGCGCATGCGCCCTCTGCTTGGTTGTGGCTTTTGGGGCGGTACTCTGCCCAGTCTTCTTTTCTCCACGTGAGGGGGTGCGCGAATTCCCAGTGGTGGCCGCGCGCTCAGCGCCTCTGCAGCTCTCGTGCCCTTCACGATGGCGGGCATCCTGTTCGAGGATATTTTCGATGTGAAAGACATTGACCCAGAAGGCAAGAAATTTGACCGAGGTGAGGTGTGTAGGGGCGGTATGAGGGAAGAGGCCAACATGCCCACCCATCCCAGGTGGTCCGCCCTGCTCTCTCGGTACCTCCCTCAGGAAACAGTTTTTTGTTTTTTGTTTTTTTCGTGAATGAGAAACTTGAGACAGCTTTTTCTATTATATTTGCGGTGCGTGGTGCCTGAGTGGCCCTTAGCCATGGTGCTGGTATACTCCTGGGAACCTTCCTAAGTCCCTACACAGTTATTACGTGCTCTACCGTGCGCCTAGCTCGCACACTGAACTTTATTCTTATAAAAAGTAGATGGTGCCTTACTATTTTGTTACCTGGGGTCTTGCAGCAATTTACCTGCCTGCCTTCCTAACCCATAATTTTGTATTGGCCTAAGAACTGTTAGCTCTTTTCTAGGCTCCCTGAATTTCATTCAGCTGACTGGTTGGTGTATTTATTTTCCCAACGATCCGGAAGTTGTTTCTTGTTGGTGTCACTTTGCCTGGAGGCAAATGTTTTAAGACAGATGTCAGTTCTCAATACGTCCTGCAGATTCCCTCAGCACAGTGTCTCCTACCAGGAAGAGGAAGTCTCTGCATAAATGAGACTTTAGTGTAAATCATCCAGGCATGTTTAGAGCCTGGAGACTAGCTACTGCCAAAGGAGCTTTGCCTCTTTCTTGGGACCCTGTCACAAGCTGAGGTTACTACCTTTTTCCTTCTTGAGAATCTGATTCTGATTGCAGTTGTTCGAGGCTGGTGGGTGAGGCTTTGTAATTATGTCTGTCACTCTTCCCCAGTATCCCGTCTGCACTGTGAGAGTGAGTCTTTCAAGATGGACCTCATCTTAGATGTAAACATTCAGATTTACCCTGTAGACTTAGGTAAGTATTGAAAACAGGCAATGGCAAGAGGATTTTGGTCTTTGGTGTCCACTCCTTTACTCTGATGTTGCTGCTCTATTCAGGTGACAAGTTCCGGTTGGTTATAGCTAGTACTTTGTATGAAGATGGTACCTTGGATGATGGTGAATACAACCCCACAGATGACAGGCCTTCCAGGTGAAGTAGTAGTAAACAAGTGACTAAGATAAGAATACAATGTATAGAAAATATATGCAGATTTTAGATTATGGATAGTATACATATATTATGTATAATTACATATTATAGAAATTTGATATTTTGCATATAAGATATATATACTATGCATATTGTATACCAATGTATAACATAAGCTACATAATGTTATATATTAGATATATAATATGCTATGTGTAATATGTTGTAATATATGTTAATACTACATATAAGTAACTATGAGAATATAATGAATGGAAAGTATATTTTTTATTTTATATATTATATATTATAGAGAAAGAAAAAACATAAGTATATAGAAAAGTCTTTATTTCTAGGGATGAATGATTGTTGTCAGTGGAGTCTGAATTACTTTAAAGACATTGCTACAGTTAGAATTCTGACAACTAGAACTGGATGCGATGGATGGCGTTTGTCTGTAATTCTAGGACTCAGGAGATGGATTACAAGTTCAAGAACATCTTTGACTTCACATCAAGTCTGAGGCTAACCTTGGCTACATGAGACCCTGTGTCTAAAAAAATTGAAAAAATTTCAAATGACTAGTTTCATTGATTACTGAGAGCAGTGATTGTAAGCTTGCGAGGTGCAACTGTTTATTTATTTGTAGCCCTGGTTGACCTGGTCTGTGTAGATCAGGCTGGCCTTGAACTGACAGTCTCTTCTACCTCCTCTGCCTCCTCAGTGCTGGAATTAAGGTTATATACCACCATTGGTTGTAAGTGTAGCTTTTTCAAGGCTGAGGAAAGCATTATATAGTGACTTAGATTTTGTGAGGGAGCTTGGTGTGATAGAAAGACTATGGATCAGTAGGTTTGGTGGCTCACACCCTTAATCCCTGCACTCACAGAAGCACAAGTCTCTGTGAGTTTGAGGCCAGCCTGGTCATGTAGCCAGTTAAGATAACCAGGACTACATAGAGAGACCTGTCTCAAGGGCTAAAAAGCCACGAATCACTCTTAAGTTTTTACTTCTCAGCCTTCTGTTTCCTTATCAGTAAAATATAGATGTTCATGTCTAGCTCACAGAGTTTCTGTGGGAGCTAAGGAAGTTCCCACTTCTATCGTGCTTCTTATCAGTCTCCATTTTTAAAGTTCCCTTACACTATTACTATGAAGAGTAACCTGGCTGTTGTTTGTAGGGCTGACCAGTTTGAGTATGTAATGTATGGGAAAGTTTACAAGATCGAAGGGGACGAGACATCCACTGAAGCAGCCACACGTCTGTAAGTAACACTGTCTAGGAAAATCCTCCCTCCCTGTTCTGAGGACCGGCCATACTTCTACTTCTGTGTTGGCCTTTTTATTTTCTAGCATTCCAAACCTAGGTTGGAAGAATTTGTCTTGGGAACAGTTTCCAATCTGAATGTGGGTCACTTAATATCACCCATTGTCAGGATTTCAAGACCATGGAGTCCAAGGAGATGCTGGTGATCTTGCTTTGTGAGGGACAGCAGAGCATCTTCCTGGAGAACCACATGCAGTATTCATGATAATTGGGTCTTTTTTGTTGGCTTTTACTTATATAAATGTTGTTTCTCTGTATCCCAATCCTTGGAACCTTGTTTTCCCTGTCTGATTTTTTTTTTTAACCTTTTCTTTAAAATGATGTTAAAACAGTATGGTTGTCAGAAACATGAAGCAGAGAAATAATGAGAAAAAGAACAAGCTTGGCAGTGGTGGCGCACGCCTTTAATCCGAGCACTTGGGAGGCAGAGGCAGGTGGATTTCTGAGTTCGAGAGTTTGAGGCTAGCCTGGTCTACAGAGTGAGCTCCAGGACAGCCAGGGCTACAAAGAGAATCCCTGTCTCGAAAAACCAAACCAAACCAAAAAAAAAAAAAAAAAAAGAACAAAAGTCACCTAGGGAATCTTTTAGATATAAAGTTTGAATAGCTGGTGTGGTGGTAAGTACCTTTAATCTCAGCATTTGAGACAGAGGCAGGTGGATTTCTGTGAGTTCCAAGCCAGCCAGGGCTACATAGTGAGACCCTGTTTTTTCAAAAACAGAAACAAACAAAAAAAAGTTTGTGTAACTTTTTTCTTTTTTTTTTTTCTGTGTTTATTTTTCCCTTAAAGATCCTTTACAGTGTTTTCTTCTTCCTTTAAACATAATTGCCCTTTTTAGTTGGAAACTCTGCCCAACTTTTGTTTTTTGAGACAGGGTCTCTCTGTGTAGCCTGGATGGAACTGACCCAGGCTGCTGTTGGACTTAGGAGAGCTGCTTGATTGCCTCCCGCTGCTGGGATTAAAGACATGAGCCATCCTCTTGGCTCCTTAGCATTTTCAAAAATGTATTATTTGTGTGTGTATGTGTATCACGTGCAGGCATGAGTCCACCAAGGTCAGAAGAGGGCATTGGATCCCCTGGAAGTGGAATTCTAGTGATTGTGAGATGCCATGTGGTTCTGGGAAGTGAACCTAGGTCTTCTGCATTCTGTAAGAAAAGCTTAGGCTTTTCTTAAGGCTGAGCCATCTCTCCAGCTCCTACCTAAACAGTCCAATAGCTGTGTAACAGTGCAGTGAATAGTGATACCTTCATTTGAATGTCTCCTGGTTCTGGGCTTAGCAGTGTTTCTTCCTCCACTAGAGTAAAGCACACTGTGTTACACATGACTGCTTTCAGTTCTGTCCTAATCTTTGGGTTCCCAATGACAGAATACGTGGAGAGTGCCTTTAAAAGATGGATGGAGACCTGCTGGAAAGCAGCTGCTGTAGAGCTCAGACTCAGGACAGGGCCTTCTATTTCAGCTCCGCATATGTGTCCTATGGTGGCCTGCTCATGAGGCTGCAGGGGGATGCCAACAACCTACATGGATTTGAGGTGGACTCCCGAGTTTATCTGCTGATGAAGAAGCTGGCGTTCTGAACTTTGTGAGAAAGCAGACTTGCCGCTTAGGCACTCATGTCATGGGCGTTGTTCAAGCCTGTGTAGAAGCTGTCTGTGTTCGCCTGTAAAAGGGACGGAGCTCTGTCCACTGTGGGTACATCTTCAGTTTGTCTGAACTCAAGTGGGAAACTGACTTGTCTGTAAAAGGCTGTGTGGGAGAGCTCAGCATGAACCTGAAGTTGTATATGATTTTTTTATTAAAGTTTACTTTTTCAGACTTTTCTCCATCATTGGGGGTTGGGGGATCCAAGGTTTTTTTTTGTTTGTTTGTTTATTTGTTTTGTTTTGCTGGCCCATACTGGCCTTGAACTTGATCTTCCTGCCACCACCCCCTGAGTTTCTGGGATTGCATCTCACCTGGTGTGTGAAAATCTGAGTTTTAAAACCCTCTGTGTTCTAAATTAATTAATGTCTTTCTTTCTTTCTTTCTTTCTTTCTTTCTTTCTTTCTTTCTTTTCTTTTCTTTTCTTTTCTTTTCTTTCTTTTCTTTCTTTTCTTTCTTTTCTTTCTTTCCCTTTTTTTTTTTTTTTTTGAGACAGGGTTTCTCTGTGTAGCCCTGGCTGTCCTGGAACTCACTTGGTAGACTCTGTCTCTCCCTTTCAATTTTTTCCCCCTACCTCATCCCACCCCTGGGTGTGGTTGGTGTGTGTGTGCGCGCGTGTGCACGCTCAAGTGTGAGCATGCATACTTCTGTCACCTGAATCCTGGGAATTGAACTCAGATTAAGACAAGCTTCTTTACCTATTGATGGTGGGGAGGTTTTTTTTGTTTTTTTGTTTTTGTTTGTTTGTTTTTGTTTTTTTCTGGCCTCCAGTTGTCTCTTGATGACCTGGGTTTATCACAAGAGCTGGTTTCCTGCTGGGATGCCTGGGGTGTTTCCTTCCCCATCTCTATTTTGGTCCTTCCAAGAGGTGTTAGAAATAATGTTTAGGGAAATGGGTTGAAAATGACTGGCCTCAGCAGGGAGGAGCAGAGGTGTTTTTTCCACAGTAGGGTGTGTGGCTGTGATGCATTGGGATATGGGAGGACTCTTCATAAACTCTTGTAATCTTCCCCTGGAGTCATGCTTTTGTAGGGTTGAAGGAAGATGGGTTAGGTTACACTGGAAGATCCTTATCAGTAATAGTGGTACAATGCCACTGTAGACTCCTGGCTGTCCTGGCAAAGAAAAGGGGGACTTGAAAAGCGTTCTGCTTATAAGCACTATTTTTTTTACTTCAAACATTTATTTTGTCTTATTGTATGTTTGTATCAGAAGGTAACTTTCAGAAGTCCCTTCTCACTAATGTGGTACACATTTGGTCAGGCTTGATGTCAATTCCCTTTACCCATTGAGCCATCTTGCCAGTGTACTCTTCGTGTGTGTGTGTGTGTGTGTGTATTGGGGAAGAAATGATGGAACCAGCTACACAGAATGATTTAGTTTAGACTTTTGGCTTGGTTTTGACAGTGCAGGGATCAAACCCAAGGCTTACTAGGCCAGCAAGTGTGGCATCACTCAGCTGGATCTTCAGGTGAGGTTAAAAAAACCTTAAAGGTGGAGTCTGCAGTGTCAACTGTCTGAAACTTGTTACATAGCCAAAGGTGACTTTGAACTTGTGATACTCCTGCCTCAACCTCACAAACTGCTGAATTTACAGGCATGCACCTGGTTTTAGGATTAGAGTCTTAAGAAGGCAGATAAGGTTACATTGTAGAAACCGGTGACTCAGATTTGCCAGTGTGAGGTGCCGGGAATTTTGGCTCTGTTGCAGTTCAGCATTCTCAATTGCCATCTCTCTGACTGCTGAGAACCCACAGAAATTGGTCTTTGGCTTGTCTAGTTGTGGGTGCTGGCTCTTACGTACTGTAGTGTTTGGCTTGATGATTTTGTGTTTGTTTTGGTTTTGTGCTGAGAGGATTGAACCCAGGACTTGTGCTTGCTAGGTAAGAGCTCTACCACTGAGCTATGTCCCTGCTTTTAACTTTAGTTTTATTTGTGTGTATGTGTGATGTGGATGTGCAAGTGTGGGAGTTGGCACGTGATGGTGCGCATGGTGAGGTGGGAAGACAACTTCTGGGAGTTGGTTTTTGCCCTTTCTGTGGGTTCCAAGCATCAGACTCACGGCAGACTCGCACAATAAGCACTGTCACCGACTGAGCTCTCTCACTGGCCCTAAATTCCTTTCTAAATGTTAAGTTTAGCCTCCTTTAGTGTTACAGTAAATTACAAATTATACTTATCCTAGAATTAGTAAATCAAGGACTCTGTCACATTGAAACTGACACTAGGTGGGTGGTGGTGGTACAAGCCTCTAATCCCAGCATTTGGGAGGCAGAGGCAGGTGGATTTCTGAGTTCGAGGCCAGCCTGGTCTACAGAGTGAGTTCCAGGACAGCCAGGGCTACAAAGAGAAACCCTGTCTCGAAAAAACCAAAAAAAAAAAAAAAAGAAAAGAAAAAAGAAAGAAAGAAAAGAAAGAAACTGACACTAAGATTCTGATAAACTCTTTAGCTGTGTGCATCTGTTGATCCCTTCGTCAGGTTCTGCCCACGCAGACACCTGGTGCTGTCTGATTTGTCATCCCACAAGTTCTGGTCTTCTGCTCAGCTCCTTAAGACTGTATGTACTCTCCAAGGACTTGGAACTGCATTAATTAGACTCACCAAAGGACATGCCAGGCAATGTACCACACCGAGTAGATGGATGGGCTGAGACTCTGACTGGAGTGTTGTTTTCTGCTTGAAGGCTATGTGACTATTGGGAAGCCCACCTGGCCTTGGTGTCTTCATGTGTAAAACAGATATGGATAATACCAACCATACAGAGTTGTGGGGGGAGATCCTGGGGCATCTACTGCCTGTGTGAAGAACACCTTTCCCTTTGTGTGTGTGTGTGTGTGTGTGTGTGTGTGTGTGTGTGTGTGGAGTGTTTGGAACTGTGAGATCCTGTCTTCTCTGCCTACATGGTAGCCTTTCCTCCTTTACTTTGGGACAGAAGAAAGGGAAAAGCTCTTACTAGTCTCCTTGAAAGACCCTGGCCATTGCAGGTTGACCCTTGGCAATAAAATTTTTGTTCTTTGCAATATAAACCTCTAGTACCAACAAAACAGAGACTCAGGTTTACTTGCAAAAATTGGTAAGTCTGCCTTCATTTTGGGGGTTCCCAGTAGAGTTCATGGTGCTCACACAGGGCTGCCTTTTAGATGCATTTGTTGAAATTAGAAAAAGCCTTCAACTTCTCTGTGCTTGTCCTGCTGTGTGAGGTGTGGAGCCTGACTCTTGTCACTTCCTGCACTTCCGCCTGACCTCCACAGGAGGGAAGCAGGAGCCCAGGCCTGGGTAAGCTCCTGCTGAGCTGCTGATGGTTTTAGCTGTTTGCTCAGCTGCCACATCCAAGTCTAGTCTTTACTGAACCGTCTACACAGCCTTACCTGGGGTGTGGAGTTCCCCAAGCTTCCTGTTAGCTTTCTTGGGAGGTAGGGTCCAGGAGATCTATTGTCCCGGTGAGGGGTGAAGAACATTGGCCCCTTGATTTTTAATTGGCTTTTGGGTGTCTCATTTATTCTCTTATAGGCTCAGTTTTGTCTCTAAAGTAGGGACAGCTTTTCTAAAAGATAACCTGCTAATCCTTTATCAAGAGCAGTATCTCTTGAGGACCAAACATTCTCACTGAGAATTATAGTGAAAGAAATGAGAACATTGCGGGGAGGTTGTAGGGGGGGTTTAAATTTGAAGCAAAGGAAACTTCCCTTTTGTTTTCTGATAACAGTGTTAATCTCTACCTGGGTTAAAAGGCTAGACCAGTCTAGATATTTGCAGACAACATATGAAAGCACATATAGAGAATTAGTGATTTTCAAATTTATACAGAAAATAGACCAAAGATAGCTAGCTGCTCTGATGAAAATTGCTGATAGGTTAAATAAAAAAGGCTCCTAAAATTTCACAATGTCCTGTCCTGTGTGTCCTGTGTGTCCCTTTCCTTTGAGGTGAAAGCAGGAATCTAGTGCAGCTACAGCTGTCCCTCAGAGCCTTCCTGGGGAAGCTTGTCCCTGAGAGCTATTGCAGGTGCTCACTGTGCCGGTACACCTTATGCTTCCTGAGACAAATTCCTGGAATGAGGGTACATTGCGACTGGATGAGGGCCGGTAGAGTTAGGCATGGTGGTGGAAGGGTCAGGAAACGGGGTGGAGCTGGGATGGAGACCCATGGGTGGGCAAGGTAGGTGAAGGAGGGAAGAGTGTGTGTCCATCAGGAGCAAGGCTTGGAGAAGGATGAAGTCCACCCTGGAGGTTGAGTGGCAGGGAGTCTTTGTTGAAAGCTCCTGGCACGATGTCTGAGGCTTCTAGGGTCTGAAGTGAGGTTCCAGCAAAAAGACCATGAGTTGCATTCACAGGTCTGTGTGTCCTGTTCTGGTATCCAGGGATTTGGTCTGGGGACCTGGAGGTTTGATTTAGCTGACCAGGAATAATCTTGGCTCTGAATCCTTGAAGCCTGTTCAGAAGTCCAGGGCCAATAGTTCTGGCTATGACACTGAAGTTTGTCTCCAACAATCCAGAAGTCCTGTTTGGGAACTTGTTTAATGTGAGGAGTTGGGAGGTACTGCTTGGGACAGCTGTGGTGGGCAGGGTCCGTCTGACACAGAGGGTGGGACCTTCTACCAGCAGCAGGAAGCGCACCTTTCCCCGAAGCAGTTGTTGCAAGGTCCAGAAGAGGGCATTGGGGTCCTTGTGAGCTGTGGTCCTGTCCTGTGGAGGGATCTGAGGGCAGAGGATGGGCCTGATGCCAGAGAGTAGACCCAGGTATCAGGCCTCTTCTGACTAAGGAGAAAAGATTTATGCAACTCCAGTGTCCATCAGTGTAGCCTGGTCTTGCATGGACTCTTAGAAAGTCACCCCACCTTGATGCAGCTTTGCAGTCCTATTCTTTCTGATACAAAACTTGCCCACAGCATATTTAAGTTAAATGTACAACAGAACACAGTCACCATAACCATGAAGATGAAGGGAAGGGGCTTAACAAATGGCAGAGCTGGATATGCCAGCCAGCACCCAGGTAGTATGGCTGAGAAGCATCACTCCTTATAGGCCAGCTTCCGTACACTGAAGGCACCTAGAATCCCTTGTCTTCCCCCAGGTCTTTAGAGGAACTGAGTAAGAGGGTAGTTTCTATAGGTCTGGGGTCTTACCTGGGTTCCTAGGAGGCCCTGCAGGGCCCCCAAGAGGAGGCGAACCTGCCCGGAAAGCTGTCCCAGGAGGACTGAGAGGCAGGAGGGTTCCAACTGTCCTCGTGCTGCCATCACTCCTTCCAGTAGAAGGGACACTGCCCCTAGAATGTCCTGTGCCTTGCTCTGTTCCTGGGAAAGAAAAAGTGGGCTGCTTCAAAAAAACGTGCTAAGAATGGGTGGGGAGGCCATAGGAGTAGCCAGCAGGATGAATCATAGGAGCTGAGAATTGGACAGGATGAGGGTCCCACCCATCACAGGAATGCCTTCACAGTCTCCTCATAACTGGTCATTGGCCTCTGCTTCAGCAACTCCAGTGTCCATCAGTGTAGCCTGGTCTTGCATGGACTCTTAGAAAGTCACCCCACCTTGTCGAAGCTTTGCAGTTCTATTCTTACTGATACAAAACTGTTGCCCACAGCATATTTAAGTTAAATGTAGCAACAAAACTGTCACCGTGAAGATGAAGGGAAGGGGCTTAACAAATGGCAGAGCTGGATATGATGGTACATGCCTGTAATCCCAGCACTTGTGGGGATGAGACAGGAGGATCACAAGTTCAAGGCCAATCTGGAATACATAGTTAGACCCTGTTACAAATACAGAGCTAGAGCTAGAATTTATATGACTCATTCCTTCTCCTGACCCAGGACCTCCTAGGAGACTTGAAAAGAAAGGGGATTCTACCTAGTACAGGCATGTGCCATCTGGCTTGCTTTTGCTGCTATTGTTTATTTTTTGAGACAAAGTCTCACTATATAGCCCAGACTAGCCTGTAGCTTCTCATCTTTCTGCCCCACTTTCTGAGCTGCTAGGATTTCTGGTTTGTGTCACTATGCCCAGCAAGGATTTGAATCTTGATTTTGCCTTAATTTAGTGGTACTTTCTGCTTATGTCACTTGTGGACAGAAGATCAGATTTCTTGCCAACTTAAGAAGGTTGAGAAGCTGGGCAGTGGTGGTGCACATCGCTGATCCCAGTACTTGGGAGGCAGAGGCAGATGGTTCTCTGAGTTTGAAGCCAGCCTGGTTTATAGAACAAGTTCCAGGATAGCCAGGGATAGACATAAAGACATCCTACTTGAAAAACCAAAGAAGGAGGAGGAGAAGGAGGTAGAAGCAGAAGATGAACTGTGTGGTGGTGGTGCATGCCTTTAATCCCAGCATTTGGGAGGCAGAGGCAGGCGGATTTCTGAGTTCGAGAGTTCGAGGCTAGCCTGGTCTACAGAGTGAGTTCCAGGACAGCCAGGGCTACACAGAGAAACCTTGTCTCGAAAAACCAAACCAAAAAAAAAAAAAAAG